CGAGTCTCGTTCCCAATCGCCTATGGAGCTGTCCACACCATCTCCGTCCCCACCCTCGGAAGCCCAACAGTCAGAGCCCCCTGTCATCGGTGCATGGCCTGCTTCCCGCCCGGAGTCTCCACAACACTCAGTGGTGGCGGACGAGCCACCAAAATTCGATGCGCCAACACCTGAGCCTGAGCCTGAGCCCGCTCAGCCGTCTATCACTCAGAGTAAAACCTCTGAGCTGTTTACGACCCTTACCCCCCGTCCGCCATTCCTTCCAGTTGAAGGGCCCTTCAGCCACTTAAGCACTGCCTTCGATGTCCATCCGTCGATGCTTCTGCGTCATCCTCCGCACCAACTTCCTCTCCTAGCGCCGCCGTCGCCGCCGCCATATCTTCACAGGATGCCGCTCCACCCAGTACTTGCTGATCGCGTCGGCTCGGAACTCAAAGCGACCATCAAGAGTGTCAAGGTAAACGTAATTTTCCATCATTCCGTGCCTTCTTCTCTGACATGAAGTGCAGGAACAAGTAACCGCCTTGGGGGAATCTGTCACCGGTCTTAAATCGCGTCAGTCCTTCAGCGAAGAAGACATCATAGACCTCCAAAGTCACGTTCACAGGCTCGAGCCCGACTCGGAGCGCCTGCTCTGCCGCATCAACATGGCTGAGCGTAACATCGCTTCGCTATCCAGTCTTCAGAGCCAGGTGAACACGCTCCGTAGCAGGCTTGACGCACCGGAACCGCGGCCTGCTGAGGCACATCTCAGTGATGTGAAAGCCTGTGCCGAGGCATTGAACAATCTAGTCTTCGGTTCGTTCCGTTGGTTACTGGTGGCTTAGACACTAACGTGCTCGATAGAGATGAAGGCTTTGCGGGAAGATACTGAGAAGCGGATAGAAGAGAAGATGGAAGCTATTAGTACCGCTCGCACTGAAGCGTTGAATTTAATCGCCACTGAGGTTGAGGTATGTAATTTCGTCCAACGTAGTCCCATTTCTTACGCCGTGTAGGTCTTGAACTCTCTGAAGCGGAAGCGCACCGACGACGACGACGACGACGACTTGGAACATCAGGTTTCTCCAGACGTTGTAACGGATGCGGTCACTGGACAAGCTGCCCCCACTCCGGTGCCGAATGTTGGCGATGATGCAACGCCATCGACTTCCAGGCCGCAGAAACGGGCCAAGATGGCGATGTACGCAGTCGCTCAAACCGCTGTGACCATGGCCATTGGGGCGGCGGCTACATGGTCTGCTCTAGCATTTGCTTGAGCACTGTCTATGAAGGATGGCTTTCAATGCCAAGTTGTGCAACAGCATGTACTTTAACATACATACGGTTGTTCTCGGTGTACTCTGAGGGTGTTCTGTTGTAGATTTACGTGTACGGTGTATTATGACTCGGAACTTGTAAGTTGCAGTGAAGCAATGTATGTGCTTTGTGCGCGTTGCGTGTGTGTTACTCTCACTTGTAGTTGCTTGGTAGGAAAGTATCGGTCAAGAAAATCTTGCGTAATACTAGGGGTCGTTGTTTGCCAAGTGAAATTGTCATACACTGGGGGCAAATTCTGATGTCTGGTGAAAGAACATTTTTAGAACATAGGTCGAATAGATACTATGTTTTAACAATGTTTTGAGATAGAATGTGTCCCTAGAACATGATGAAAACAAAGTATCTGATCCAGCAATGTTTTCAAAATGATCTCTTGGGTAACATTGGCATATGCCCCCAGTGATACAAGGCAACAAACCCATCGAGTCTATGCAGGTGAAAGCAAAAGATTCATCAGGTACAATAGTGTTTGCTTGGTATAATTGCACTTTGAGGTTGCACATGATAAATCTGAAACAATACAGATGTCAAAAACTATAAGAGGGCAGGCATTGCTCGAACTACTAGGGATTGACTAGGAGTGGTAAATAGGTATATGGAAACTCACCTCAGTTGCTGCCTAAGGAGGGCAAAGAATAACTAAGGAATCCAAAGGGAAAAGTAAGTATACTGTAGAGATATGACCCTAGGTTCATTGATTTTTTGAAAATCCAGACCAATCTTTGCTCAACTTCTTACAGTGGCTCGAACAACTGTCCCAATGTTTGCATATTTTTCACTAAAGTCAATAACCCTGGATCACCCCTGACCCTAACTCTGATATATGAGTGTATGAAATAAAGTGCTTACTCTTGGCTTTCCATTGCTGCAAGGGTCAAAGGATTTGGTTAGGATGTGATGAAATGGCAGCTATGTCAAAATGGCAACTCACTGGGACAGTTGTTTGACTTTGTACAGGATAGGGTATTTAGTACTTGGTATGACCTCCCTTGGACTTGATAACTGCTTGAATCTTTCTAGGCATACTTCCCATCAATTTCTGACACTCCACCCCCACTCTACCACCACAGAATACAAAGTCAAAAAACTGTCCCAATGAGTTGTCATCTCGACATAGCTGCCATTTTATCACATTCTAACCAAATCCTTTGACCCTTGCAGCAATGGAAAGCCGGGAGTAAGCACTTTATCTCATACACTCATATATCAGAGTTAGGGTCAGGGGTTATCAAGGAATGTTGACTTTAGTGAAAAACATGCAAGCACTGTGATGGGCAGAGAAGTGTTCACTAGGAATGACAGGAGAACAGGAATAAACTGAGGAACATAAAAGATGTGGAATATAGGAAATATCCTATGCAACATGACACAATCAATGAGAGAGACTCATTGATCTTTCTATATGATGTGGTGAGAAGAGGTTTAATACATGTCTATAGAGTGTGATAACATCTCTATGATAGTTGAGATACTTATGAGCATGCTCCATAAGGAAGTGATAGATAATGAATCACTAGGACTTCAAAAAAAATATGATCAGAGGTACAAGATGTACATGATATAGTGGGTAAGGACTCTTGGTCCTATACAGTGGCTCAAAAAACTGTCTGCATGTTTGGACATGTTTCACTAAATGCAATATTCTTTGATACCACCTAACCCTAACCTTAAACTGTGAGTGTATTAAATACAGTACCTACTCTTGGCTTTCTATTGGTTCAAGGATCAAGGTTTTTGGATAAGGTTTAATGAATGGCAGCTATTTCAAAATGATGACTCATTTGGACAGTTTTTTGACTTTAAGTTTTGGTTACATATATTAGACCCTAGCATGCTATAATATGATTACATACATCTGGTAACTGTTCTATTATGTCACCTTTATGTAACTGAGTGATAGATAGTATATATACACCTCACTATTCCATGTTTATTTTTCCACCATTACCATGAGGTCCATCTCTACTTCTCAAAAAACAACACCATTACTCTATCCTCTCTTGGTCTTTCCTCTAGGAAAATTGCTTCCCAAACTAGCCTAGGGAAGTCTACAGTATGCCAGTTTTTTCAGGAACTCCAGCCAGAGAAGACTAGGCTTCATGGTGGCCACCCTTCAAAGCTTACCCCTACCAACAAAAGGGCTATTGTTTAGAAAATTATTACTGGCAAGGCCAAAAATGCTGTTCATGCCACTCAATACATCAATTCTATCAGTGATGCTCCTGTCTGCCCCCAGAGTGTGAGAATACCCCCAAGAAAGCCTCATTAAAGGCTGTGGTAAAGAAGGAGAAGCCCCTACTTTCTAGTGGTCACAAGAAAAGGAGGTTAGCCTTTGCTCTCAAGTACCAGCATTGGACTGTGGAGGATTGGAAGAGAGTTATATGGTCAGATGAGACCAAAATCAATAGGATTGGGCAAGAATATGTATGGAAAAAGAAGGGAGAAGGGCTGAATGCTAGAGAGGTCAAAGGTACAGTCTGACAAAATACAGTGAACTCTGGAACTGGAACACCAACTCCACACTTCCGGAATGTTGGAGTTTGTACCTCCACTCTGCCACCAGGCAGAACCACTCAGAGTCTCAATGTCTGCTCAGAATTTGTATGGAACTTGTGCAGACTCTTATTGAACCTCACCATCCCTTTCTTGTCATCACTCCCAAGCCTCCAGGGATACTCCATCACTTTTTTACATCACTTAATCCCATCTCCTTTCTGTTCCTATTCCTATTCCCTGATTATTATTAGCAAGCACTTTTCTGCCCACTCTGCCACATATATATACATAGTTTTCACTTCAGGTTCCTCAGTCGTTCTTTGCCCCTCTTAGGCAGTGGCTGAGGTGAGTATATTTTATACCTACTTACTACTCATAGCTAATGCTTAGTAGTCTGGGCAATCACTGCCCTATTATAGGTGAATATAGTCATTCTTTGCCCTTCTTAGGCAGTGGCTGAGTCTGGGCAATCACTGCACTATTATAGTTTTTGTCAGTACATAAATACATAAGTAAGCCAACCCTTTCCTAGACAGAGCTGGCCAGACCATCCTAGCAAGGTACCTAAGTGGCTGGAGCTGGACAGCAAATATGAAAAAAAAAATAGTCTATAAATCTACCTTCAAAAAGTTATCAAACCCTTTTACTATCATCTATTTGTGTTCTGTGCATCCACATTGTTCATTTCAACTGAACTAACTCAATGGCATGCAATAAAATTATGACAGGAAAAGGGTTAGTTTTCTGATGTATGTAATTCTGCTAATTCACCTTTGTTTGATACTGTACATCAATCAAATAGTTAGCATTCCCATTAATCATTCTATGCTGATACAAACATCATACAGCTGCTGGTGACATCTTGTGACTGACCAACTATGTGTAGTTATGATAAAATAACCTGTAGGAATATAATATGATAAACCTGTAGTAGTCCTCGGTAAGCAGTCACTAAGGACTCTACAATAAAGCGTGTCTTTGCCAAGTACGTGATTACTAAGCAGTGGCATAGCCACTAATCCAACACTATGAGGGTGACCAACTCTGTGGTAACCAATACATAGTACAGGTCCCCGGGCCTAAGGGAGGCATGTGGTATAAATATTCTTCGATGATTTGCAGCAATGCATTGTGACTCATGGCTACTACTTGATGAAGGGTTTCAGAAAATAACAGCTTTCAACTCGGATATGGTGTAACGGCTAACATGGCTGTCTTTCACAGTGCTAATTACATTAGCAAGGACACAGCAGCCCCGGGTTCGACTCCCGGTATCCGAATATTTTTCTTGTTCACCAGGCTTTCCATGAAGTGGTTAACTCGTAACGACTGAGTAAAGACAGACTAGCGACTATGTTAACCAAAGGAAGAACCAGAACAGAGCAAGGGGGCATGATTCTATAGTGATCACGGTGTCTACAGGCATTTAAGAGGAACCTTCTTTCATGATTTTATATTTTTGTTCTTGTTGTCCGAGAGGTTGAATGGGAACCTAGGGCTGGCCGGGATGAACAGTAATCGGAGCACTGCGGTCATGTTGTCCTATGGTCACAGACATGTCCAGTTGACTCGATGGTCATAGTTCCGGGAGACACACTAGAACAACGTCTATATGGGCGGGGCAGAAGCTGGAAGAATGGGCTAGTCTCCCCCTTCCCCACCCTTATCCTCATCCGCTGAGTAGAAAGAATAACTGTCAGACTCCCTGTCACGGGCCCTTTCAGGGTGACCAGATGCCTGTGCCTTGACAGGAGCGCGCGTAGCACGCTCTGCCATATGACGAAAACTTTGGGACGGGTATAGCCGACTCCCTCATGATGCTCGAGAAGAATCGATTCAGGTCGTTGTGCTTGCACGCCTCCACTTCCAGCGTCCGTCCTTCCTCGTCGACCACATGGAGGGAGGGCTTGTCAAACTTCCTCGTCCAGAAAACTCGGGACGCCTATTCCTAGTTCTATGACCTTTGGTCGACTTGCAGACTGGGTAAGGCAGCCGTTCCAATTGAGAGCAACGGAATGTTGGAAGGCACCAAGGGGCTCCGATGCAAAAGGAGGACCAGATGAGGACGGCGGGAACGAATTTGTGAGGTCAATGAGAGAAGACGAGGATGGTCCTAGCAAAGTCTGTTAGCCAAAGTAGTAAGGAAGAACTTTCCTACTCATGCATCGGGTTAGTTTGGTCTCCCGACTTCCTCAGTTGTTGAACGTTGAATGCTAAACGGGTGGCAGTTCCGCTGAGTATTGTAGATGGAGAGTGATAGGAAATAGAATGTCGCTAAAATCACGAATTATCCCGACAAAGTACTAGTACAACTAAGCAGATGGAGCATTGGTGGGGTGGTAATACACGCGAATGCAACGATGATAACTAGAATCATCATCGAGAGGGGGGATAGGTTAGGACCCATACGTAGCGCGAATGTTTTTGGTGAGTGAGCGCAGCATGGCGGGCGTAACGATGGTTTCATCGAAGGAAGATGGGGTAGACGATCTAAACGAAACGCGGGTGAATACCAAAGCCCTCGTGAGGCCACAGGTTCGACGAACCTGCTGGATCCAGTCTCCTCAAATGACGCAAGACGCTTTGCGGGTTTGAGCTTGGCAATGTGATTGGCCTTCATTTCGTCCTCGAGGGACATCATAAGCCTGAGGATGTTACTCAGAGCTTCATCCAGTCGAGCTCTAGAAATGCAGTGCGAGATGTCGGGGTTAACGTCTGCTATGTGCGCTGCAATGGAACGCGCTAGCGCATATATCTGCGGCAAGAAGGTCATCGTCGGGAAGTCTGAGTGAAGTGCATCAGCACCCCGATTCAAGTTGAACGACTGCGATAAAATGTTACCTCGACCAAGGCTCTGATGTGCTCTGATGTCACCAAGCAGCGAGAGAGTGACATTAGTCTCCGGGAGAGCTTGCAACCATTCTAGTACAGTGTCAAAGGTCATTCTACAACCTAGTGAACTTCGGCGGATTTTCAATATCGTCATGGACTTACTCTGAGTCTAAGGCTACACCCACTTGCAAGCCGGGGAGGTCGTTCAGAACGTGATGTCCTAGTAGCCCAGTAACCTCGTTGAGGAGATGAATCAGGAGCCGTGCGCAGCCTGCAAGTAGATTTGAATGGAGGTCCCAGTGAACTGAAGTGAAAGGATGGTTAAATAGTACCTCTATTGCGGGCATATAAAACACTCACACTCCCCATAAACGGTGCAATTATTGAGCCATCTTGCCGTCATTTCATCCCAGGAGTGTTCCCAAGTTTTGAAAAGATCTGCGAGCAATCGTGGAAGAGGTGGGATGTCGAGTCTGAAGCTTTACACACCATTAATAGATAACCACTTTACAAGGCGAGCTTCGACATCGAAAGGAATAACGTGTAACAGCTCTTCAAGTTTCGACTCCATATCCAAAGCCGCAGTAGAAATTAGAAAGTCGTGCGTTGACGTCAACATGCCGCCCCCAACCATCGAGTTTACCTGCGAGCGAAGTGAGCGGAAGCCACCAGGGATGCAATCAGCACTAACCATATCGTCAAAGTCCTTCGAGACATTTGCCTCCCTCTCAGACCATAAGATACATAACAACGAGGGAACATAATGTCTATTGGAAGGAAACGCCCCAATGATTTCGCGCAAGCGAGCACAATCCTCCAGAACCCGATATTTCCTATGCATCGCAAATTTCTTTTAAGAAAACCGATCAAGCCGAGACGGCATAGATTCTCACTTTCCCAAGATATCCGTGACACCAGCTAACGGGGTGCGTTCGAATATGACAACTCCAGGGTAGGAGGTCTCCGGCTCGGTGTGGTGTCTCGACACTGGTATCTGGAACACGTTCTCGTCTTTCCACTGTCCTGAATTAGGTACGTCAAACTTTTGCTCCAGCCATATGGCGGTGCCATCGCTTTCTTGGTTGAAGGAGAGCCACGCAGACCAATTTTCGGGTAAAGGTTTGGTCGTGGAGTCTAAGAAGTCCTGCAGCACACGAAGGAAAGACCCACGCGACCAGCGGCGGGCATGTTCTGCCTGATTCTGTTCACCGTTGAGCCATTGTCGTTTCGATGTGACCAGTGCATCCTACCTTCTCAAAGCGTTTGGCAAGCTCTTCATCATTTTGCGGAGGCTTGTAGTCGCTGGATAAGCGGCTCCGCAAGCGTTTCTTTATCGGGGTAGGGGTCTCCCGAGGTGCAGTTTTGCGTTTCTTCTCCGAGGGCGAACTGACACTGCGTGAAAGACGCTCGGCTTGTACTTTTTCTTTGTAAGCGGTGCTTCGTCGGCAGGCCTCGATCCACCTGGCTCGCTCAACGAGTCGTTGTTGCCACCGAGAAAAGTACTCTCTAACTACCCAGCCACCGCGAGCGAAACCGTCCGCAGTGGCTTTCATGATGTCCAGAGTGGGTTTTTCCACGGGTGACGGGCCCGTGGCGACAGAAGTTTCCGGTCTCTCTGTTGAGGCGTCAATCTTAGCCTCAATATCAGCAGCACTGACGGCTGCTCGTAAGGGGGACTGTGCAGAGTCCCTGCGAAGAAGTCTTGGGATCGAGCTGAAAGAGTTCGAACCTGGCGATTGCAGAACAAGGGGGCTTAGAATTTCGGTGGGCACCGCAGATAAGGAGGAGGTCTGGATGTTTTTGAGCGAGCCAAATATTGATTTCGGCCTTTGGGGGGCAAACGTAGGAATAAACGCGGTCGCAGTGGGCGTTGAGGGCAAGGAGACAGGCTGCCGCCTATTGAGAGGAGGGGGTTGTGCGGATGGTGTCTGTAATTTTGACAGTGCGTCCTCCATCACGCCGAACGAAGGCACGCTTTGTCTGTGGCTTTCTGTGGAGGGTACCATGCCGTTCGCCGGTGGAGTACTGAATAATAACGTTCCAGATGTATCAAAAACGCTGGTAGGAGTTGACGGGGCCAATGGAGGGGGTTTCAGAGGTGTAAATATCGCTGCCAAAGGATTGAGGGTGGACAACTCTGAACCGTGAGCGGGTGAGTTGGCAGGTATAAAAGCAGAACTATGTGCTTGCGGAGGTTGAGTAGGAGGGAAATCTCGGGAACCAGAAGCCAGTGGTGGTTGTCCAAATGGGGGGGTAAACACCGTCCCGGCCTGAACGTCCGTTGAGATCGGGACGGCAGGTGGGGTTGATGAAATGCGTGGAGTAACGGTAGTCGAGAAACCGAAGGGGCCACTCGGTGGTGCTAGTGCAATGTAAATCTGATCAGTCTCCGAAAGTATGTGTTTTGCATGAACATACCCGTAACTATGGATGGAGGCGCACTAGGAGCGCTCATGAAGGCGCTTGTGGCATCAAAAGAGGTTGTGCCGAATGCATTGGAAACGGCTTTCAAGTTCGAGAAAGCCGACTTCATCGGGGACGCAACTGGTTGAGAGGGAGCCTCTGGAGTATTCACGCTGAAGAACGCGGATTCGCTTGGTTTTTTACCAATGGTGTCGGTCGGCCGCTGCATCCCGCTTGGTTGTAGTGGCTTCTGCAACTGCGGTAGAGGTGGATGGGCGGTAGGAATGCTTTCTTGGTAATCCTCAGTTTCGTCTGCCAGGGAGATGTCGATGTCTGTGTCCTCAATCGTTCCGGAGAACCCATCTATGACAGCAGAGAGCGAAAGGTCACCTCGTATCGACTCGATATCCTCGATGGTTTCCGTGCCAAAATGCCGCTCAAGGATGCAGGCGACAAGGTATGTCATAATAACATTACCTTCCCGACGCAGGACGTTGGCAAGCTCGGCAAAGATTTTCATCGCTTCTGCATCCACGACGAGGAGTGAGCTTTTAGTGATAGGAGCACTCATAGCTTGGACGCGGCCCCGGAACTTTGTGGTCAGCTCAAAGACAGGATGGTTGAGGAGGGCAGGTGGAATGTCGTCGTGACGCTCTCTTTGGTCGCGGATATGAACGAGACGGTGGTAGACGCGCATCTCTAGCTCCGTGGGTGACTGATACTGTCCACGTTGATCTTGGTAGAACTCCTTTAAACTCTGGAGAGCTGCGAAGGCATTCATTCATCATTATCGGTATTGCATACTGCGACACACACGCACTATTCATGAGCTGTTGCTCCTCCATAGCAATGGAAAATCCTGGTCGGGCACGTTCGATGTGCAGAGCAAGGATGTGGAATCGAGCACAGCGGTCGTGGCATTCAATTGCAAGCTGTCCCATTTCATGTTGCATGGTGAAATCATTTCGTACTGCTCTCGAACGATCCCGGATGAAGTTGAAAGTGGCAGAAAACCCACCACGAGGTAAAAGGTCGTGAAAGAGAT